TAGTGAGTCGTATTCCAGAACTCTACTCAATACTCAAGTCAGGACTTCAGTATTGCAGTGAGCACTGAAAATCATACTCAAGTCCTTGCCATTAGGGTCGTATTTCCAGTGCTTGAAATCATACTCAAGTCTGCTCAAATCCTGACTTGAGCATTGAGTAGAGTTCTGGAATACGACTCTTAGCTTCCTTCGCTTGCTCAGGTTTCAATAAACGCACTCGCGTCAAACAACTTTGCAGCCTTGCATAACAAATAACTATTAACTTCTAATGTATTTTTCAGTAGTAAAAGAATGAATTGTGTGGCAAATTAGTAAATCAAGAAGATTAGTAGCATTGGCCTTTGAAAGTCTTTGGCATGTTCCGTCAATCCAGGATAGGCTCAATTATATTACGGCGGAATGGAAGCGAATTTTTGTAATGATAATGTACATAACATGATGAACTTTATGGTCAATATTGTGTAACGTATAAACTAAATACGAGCCCAAATCTATCGGAAAGCACGAGCATTCTCGAGCGTGCGCAATAATATAAAAACATTCGCTTCCAATCCATACCGCCGCTATATAAATTGAGCCATAATCTATTGGGTTTCGATTCTACGGGCGGATGTTTTTCAACGCTTATTATTACCATCACTATTATGCTAGCAATTACACAAACATTGAATTATTTTAAATTGTTAGCATTACCTATATATGTGTGAGCATTATTTAGATACATATCTCAGAATCCTGTCATTAGCTATGAATGTATTATTCAAAATACATGGGCCTTGGAGAATCACTATTTTGGTGAACATTGGATAATTGTACCAATGAACTTTAAAGAAATAAAAAGCTGTAGTAGCGATAGAGCTCTTTGTGAAAGTTTGTCCAGGTAAGAACACTGTAAGGTCCAGCGAAGACTGGCTGACGACAAAGCAGAGGACATTAATACATTTATTAATGTATATTCTATGCTATTACAATAGAAATAAAGTACTCGTATAATTTCAATATTCTGAGACGTAGAGACAAATACGCCGCGATGCTCCAAGGTTGGCCTCAAGCGCATTGCAATTTATACCTTATATCAATTGAAATAACATATATTTGCATAGTAAGTAGCAACACCTTGACTGCGCTATCCGTGGCCGCGTAGAGATCTTCCCTCGTACAAGTATGATCAAGTGCTACTTAAATTGTGTTGGTGTACCACAGTCACAACATGTTAGACTAGCATCCCTGAACACTCATTTACATATCTTGTCTCTGCAGCGACACACCCGATAGCGAATTCGACTTAAGAACTTCCAGACGGGCCACCGCATATACAGGGTGTAACCGTTAAGTGTGCCCAGGCGCTTATTCCGTAAATATAAGAGATATTAAAAACCTTTAAACTGATATCAAAAGTTCGTTACCCTAATAGGTAAAACCACATCAATAACTTTTTTTAAATAAAACTAGTCCAAAATGTTAACGGTAAACGCTTCCTTACATTTAACTTGACATTCGTAGCGAGGCTCTAGTTTTCCTACTTCAAGAGGTAATAACGAAACTGCTATAAGTAAAATAATAAAACTCTCTTTGAATTTAATAAAAACAAAGAGATGTTTATTTTTAAGTAAGCACACAATTTTGTATACAAAGCAGTTGTTCGAAGTGACGGCCTTGTTATTGTATTCACAGATCCTAAATGAATTCTTCTTAAAATTTGCGGAGTAATTAAAGCAATTTCATGGCGTACACCATTCTGTAACTCTTCTGTCTTCTGTCTTTACAAATCCTCATAAGAAAAATCACATGGTGTAAGATCCGGGGATTTAGCAGGCCAAGAGGTTCCACTGTTATTGGCTATTAAGCCATTAAAGTGGTTTCGTAAAAATTCATTATAACATTTTCTGTTGTGACTCTGTAAATCGTTTTGTACGAAGTCGAAATAACTTTGTCCGGTTAAGGTGCCATTATATAAATAAGGCCCAATGTCACCCAAGGTCACCACATCACACATTAAATTGAGAATCGTACCAGAGCTTCGTACTTCAGTAGTTTCACAAGGATTATCAATTGACCAAAAATGCAATGTTGTCTATTGTAAATGCTGCAATTTGAAACATTACATTCATCAGTCCATATCAATGTAAGGTCATTGATGTAATTATTAACTAACCAATTGAAATGGACCAGCCAATGAGCAGGATCATCATTGTGCAGTGTTTGAACAGGTTTTATCTTGAAAGCTTTAAAGTTGTGTTATTTTTAATAATATGTGTACATAATTATGGGACACCCGATATAAGTGTCCCACTCACGCGTCGATTCTCGTGGATTATTTAATAGGTAGGTAGTTAATAATATTGTCATCGAAATTATCATTAAACTGAAGTGCTCTTGGTCTTGGACCTTCTTTTCAAGCAGCAAATTGTTATCTAGCTTGAGTAATATGGGTGCTCCCTTCTGTAAGTGATAATGGTCGCTCTACGGTTAAAATCACATTTGTAGTAAAGTTTCAACATATCCCTTTTCATCCTATTTGAATATGCCATTTTTTCACAAACACGAGTAGGTACGTTTTTGCGTTCGTAC